CACACTCATTTGAACCAATGATTGCAGCATGTTGAATAGCTCATTAAAGTGTGGGCGATTAAGAATCATTTGAGTTCAATGTTACAACTGTAACCGAAAACCCCCTATCTTCCCCACCATCTGTAGATTAGTTTCTATGTTTCTATTTCACACCATTAGAGTTAGATTTGTAGAGGTATGCTCATTTTCACTCGTGCTTCTCGCTTTGTGAACTGTATAGCTTTGTTTGCACAATAAAATTCCTGAATTAGCTTTTGTCATAACTTTTGCTAGTGGATGAAGTGTGGGCAAATTTTCTTGTTAGATTGCATTTTGTTCCTCAAGGCACAAGGTAATTGTGTATATTCACTTGATGCATGTAATCTATTGTTTAAATTGATTACAAATTTATTGCATTGATTACAACTATGTGGTGTCTTTAACAAGTGTGTAGATAATTGATCAAATTTTAGAACTATATTATAGGTGATGCAATTTTTTATTTCAATAGTTAAGTGCATGACTTGGTGTGTGTGGATTGAAATTGCTATTTGAATAGACAAGTCTCTATATTCATATGATATGTTATTTTCTTATTGAATTTAGTTGAACTCATGAAACATAAGTCTTTAGAAGTAATAACAAAACCAAGCTCCATTCCAGAAGCTCCGACCACAATTACTAAAACTCAAAACTCTGCAAAAGGCGCTCAACCACTAACCAAGAAGCACCGTACCTAGAGAAGCAGAAATCTAATCGTATCCTTTTTCATTCCTATATCACGTACTCTTCAATAGAGATGATTGCGAGACTGCTACCTCAGCTATTTACCTACTTACATTTCAGGAATACTACTTTATTTATCTATCTATGTGAATAATGTGAGGTTGAATAGTAGAATTATTCAGCATCAACCTTCAATTTGAACTACAACTATGTCTATCATCCCTTCACTATGGTTGCGTAAACTTTTATAATTCTCTCAACTGATTATCTACTATAATAGTATGCAATATTTTATCTACACATGATATGGAATTTTTGACTACCATTAATAGTATGTCTTGCCTAATTGTCCAACATTACCAAATTATTTAACAACACCACAGGTATAAATTGCCATGCTTTGAATGGGTCTTCTCCCTAGTAATTAGAATAATAAAAACTAAGATCACAATAATGTTTATACTTACATTCCAAAGTACCAAGACTCATGGTACTTTTTATATAGTAATGATAATGTTAATGGTAATACTAATCTTCGTTTATGACATTAAGCATTACAAAGTTGATCATGATTATAGTTAATTGTAGGACATTAAAAATTAGAGTTTGGTCTGGGGGCTAATCAGCCTAATCAATGATTTTAGTTAGGCCAATAGATAATGCAAGCTCACTTCCCTGAGTAGGTTGAAATGCACCTAATCAAAGAATTTTCCATGTGTACAAACTCATAGTACGCGCCAAAATATAAAAATGTTAACAAGCTTGTCGGTTTTGTACATGTATTCGCAACTAACTGAAGCATCTGACTTAATTTGTCTAGATTCCCGACTCTTAGCATTGTTACTCGTGAAACAGCACTTTGGCCGAAACCATGGTCACGTGACTCACGTCAACGGGTGGAAGCCCACAGTAGGCAGAAGCAAATGCGGGAGGCCAACTGTGTTCTCCGGGGTTGGCACGGGAGAAACTTGTGCGTGGATAAAATAATGCAATACATTTTAAAATTACAATAAAAACCTTTTAAAAATTTGTTCATCATCTAATGCCCAGTATTTAAAAATATTTTGTGAACACTCCCGCCGAGATGTGGATCCCAATGAAAGGGAAAGAACAAAAATGTTAATGTCAAAGAAACGTCGAAAAAGAAGGCACAGAAATGTAGGCGAGATTGTTGTAACAGAAAAATGGGTGAAATTTTCAACATTAGTTAGTGAATGTACATATCAAAGCAAATATTATGGTAGGTTTTTTTTTTTTTAATTGAGTTTGATATTTGAAATAATTGAATCATAAATATAAAAAGGAAGAGTTGGAAACTTAGACATGATTAAACTAAAGGGAGATGTGGAATTTTGGTCCCCCAATATTTGGTCTATGAGTTAAACTAGTCCCTGATATTTTGACCAAAATAAATATGGTCCCAAAAGTTTTGACAACTAATAGAAAAGTAGAATATCTAATGGTCAAAATCAAATTAGAATTAGTCAAAAGTTTTGATTTTGTATTTTTTGGTCCCTAATATTTGAAAATTTGTTCAATATGGTCCCTTATGTTTTAAATAATTATATTTCAAATGAAATAAAATGTGAATTAGATTAATTACATAAAAAAATGTGTTCTCAAATCTCTTAAAAATCCTTAAAGTACTCCACATTGTCAAAATACTATCATCTAACCTAAAGAGCATCTCTTCGTTAAATTAATTACAAACAAATGACAACACATGAATCATATATAAAAGAAAAATTAGTGGGAAAAAGAGAATTTAAATTTGAGTATATAGTAACTTTAATTTTAAACAATATAACACAAATTGTTGCATGACTTGTGGATCTAAGTTTCAATCAGCTATGGTTAGGCATTGTGATTGCATTAACAAGTAAAGGTGATTACCAATATGAATCTATGTTTTCAGAACCGGACCGGATATCGACTCGCCCGAGGTCAGGGGTCAAGGGTCAATGGGTTCGACCGGGGGTCGATAAGGGTCGAACCGGATGACGTCATAAATAAATATTATTTAAAAATTAAATTATTGTATATAAAATATCCAATAACATATTGATATTAATAAAGGTATATTTATATATATTTGATGTTTCAAATATATTTAACAAGAAAATACAAAGAAATTAGAACAATCAAGTAACAATTTATATTATTTAATAAACATTAACAAGTTTAGAATTAAAATTATGGATTTAATTGAAAAATAACATCAAATTTTATGACAATATTTATAAAATATGAAATATTTGAGGCATATTAATAAGTTTTCACAATTTAGGGGGTCAAAACATAATATTAAAAAAGTTTAAACTTTTTTTACAAAATCTCTGTTGGACCGGTTTTTCCGGTTCTGTACCGGTCAAATCCGGTCAAACCCGGTTTTTGACCGGAGTTGACCGGGTTTTATATCTCCCGGTTCTGATGACCAACTCGGACCGGACACCTGACCGGTTCCCGGTTCAACCGGTCGGACTGGCCGGTCCGGTCCGAGTTTGAAAACACAGATATGAATGACTCATGTGAATTTTAAAAATATTTCTTGCTATTTCTTCTTGTCTTTCCTTCATATTAAATTAAATATTTCAATAACACAATTTAATGTATTTATATTTACGTTCATCTAACATTGATAATTTTATTGAATAATTTGAACAATTATAAAATCTTTAAATCAATTGTAGACACCAAAATTTGATTTCAAACTTTATTCATTTAATTAATTTAATTTTTAATTTAATTTGTTTCGATTTTAGGGTTTTATTTTATTTTATTTTATTTTTTGACAGAGGAGAATGAAAAAAAAACAAAAAAAAACAAAGGGGAAAACAGAGTGGGCGGCGGAGTAGGAGGAGAAAAGAAAAAGCTTCATCTGAGGGCGGAGGGTTTTTGAGCAATGTTTTTAAACTCGGACCGGTCAGTGAACCGGAGAGGTGGCCGGTTCGCGGTTCGACCCGTCCAACCGGCCGGTTCAAAGGTTCACTGTTTTTTTTTTTTTTAAGTGTTAAGTACTAAGCAGGTTTCATTCTACACTTGAACTTTACCAACATAACGATAATAATAAATTTTCTAAAAGTTATACATAAAACATGGAATGATAAATATAATTAAAATATCATAATTCACCATAAGTTTTCATAAATTCATTATAAACATAAATAGATACAATCCAAATGTTCACCAATTATCACAAATAAAAACACAAAAAATAAATAAATTAAATATTGAAATTCTTTTACAACCCTTAAAAAAATCCATAAAAGAGTTCAAGTTAAGACAAACTATTTGAATAGCAAACTTTTATCAGTGGCATGATAAGGAACCACACCACCTTCACAATTTCATCAACTTAAGCTGAAAAAGTTAAAATTTTATTATAAAAATATAAATCTAATTGCTCAAACTAAAAAAAACTAAAAATTTTTGAAAAACAAATATACAGTTAAACACATAAAAAATTAATTGCTACTAAACATTACTAATTAACATGTTATATTAAATTCAATGATCCTATACCATTAATTATTTTAAATTCAATTATCAATAGCTTCGATTATGTGCCAACTACCATATTTTTGACCAGCCCAATGTTATTATTTGTAATTCCTACCCAATTCCTACACGGATGTGCACTACTTTTGCAAAAATTTCATCCTTAATTAATCGAATAAAAATAAAAAAAAAATGAGGGAAACATATAAAAATTGAGGGGAAAAAGAAGAAAATGCAAAAAATCAACTAAAGATAATAATATAGAAAAAAAAACCTTGAAAAGAAAAAAATTAAACTTACTAAGATGTTGGAAAACAAGAAAAGTTGAAATTTTCAACTTGTTTACAATTTGCTAAAGATAATAACCTGATAATAATGGTGAAGACTTGAGAAAATCTTGTTGTGGATATTTGGGTTAAAAATGGTTAAGAAGAAAAAATTGAAAAAAAAATAAAGAGAAGAACTTGATGTTTTAATATATTTTTTAGTTAAGTAGAATTCTCAACAAACTTAACTACAGTCTAGCGGTGAGATTGTCATATCCAAAATGGAGACCCAGGTTCGAATCTTAGCTACACCATTCTTGATATTTTATTGAAGAATTTAAAAAACTGCCGGTTCACGGTTCTTAACGGTTCGCACGGTTCGTCCGGGTTTCAACGGTTCTCCATGAACTTCCGGCTTTAGCATTAGACCGGACCGGTGACATGGCCGGTTCGCGGTCCAACCGGTCGAACCGGCCGGTCCGGTCCGGTTCTGAAAACATTTGTTTTTGAGAGAATAGAGAGCCGAGAGAGGGAAGGATCGGAGAGGGGTGGAGGAAAAGAAGAAGAAGGCAAGGAACAAGAAAAATCGAGAAGGAAGCTGCGGCTGAAATCTGGAACTTGGAGGAGGAATTTCGGGCAGAGTGAAACGGATGAAAAAGGAAGAAAAGGGGACCGGATAGAAAAAGAGAAGGAACCAAGGGAAATGGGAGCTTCAGCTTCAATCATTCGATAAAAATTTTTTCCAATCACCACTGCCAAATTTCCCACCACCTCAACCGGCTGCCGGCTGCCACCACTCTCTTTCCACCCTCCGTCCTCAAATTCCCCCCAATTTCCCCAAACGACTCCTCCACAAAACCCCTCATTTCCCATTCTGCTCTTCCCCGCTTCCAATACAAGCCTTTTCTGCCAACGCCTCCACCACAGCCCTTCCCCTTTACCGCCATCTCTGTCCGCGCCAAGCCCAAAGAACTCATCCTCAGCAACCTTTCTGTTCTCGGTGGAAAGGACAAGAACAGCTACGACGTCGAGACTCTCATCAACTTCTTCTCCACCTGCTCCTCTGCCGTGGATGGTTTGAGCAGCAACAGCAGCGGAGATTTCCAACTCACCGAGCCGTCACCACTTCATCGGATATCCATTGCCGCTTGCGAATTTCACCAAGAAAGCCTTGTAAGTTGTCTTCCCTCTTTGAATTTCAGTTTCCATTCGAGCACAAACGTCTGAGCTTCCAAAGCATGTTTTCCGTGTCTCTGTTAGTGCAATTTTCTTGTTGATTGTTTATGGTTTTAGAATATACAGGCTCTATGTGTCGATTGGACTGATTTATCTCGTGTTTATAACAAATTTTGGGCTAGTCATAACCTCAATTGAGCAAAATTTGCTGAAGTTTTTCACGCTCATTTAGTGTTTGATAAAATGCCCGAACGGAAATCTTGAACCAAAAGAGGAGATTTTATGCCTTTTTTTTAATTTAAGAGAGACTCTGGCTAGTCCAAAGCTGGCCAGAATACCGTGCGTTTGCTAGTCGAGGAGAGGAAGAGAAGCCACGAACTTTTGAAATTGATTTCATCCATTTCGCTGTTTTTGCATTCTACAATGGTGTGATGCATCTTGCCGGGTAAAATTACCGAAATGTTGGAGCATCAGGGGTTGCAGAAGCTTTCCTCTAAGTCACGCCGAAGAAGAAAGCTTCAGCGAATCATTTGTTTGCAAATATTTGGAAATTCGTGAATTGGCCCCTGAACCATAAGTAATTTCATAACGGCCCGAATAATTTGGTTTTTCTTTCAATTGGGTCCTGAATTAATTTCAAATTGACCCCTGGGCTTAGGTCTCTTCATGTTTTGTACATATTGACCTTTGTTCCTTGGCTTTTGCCTAATTTCTGATAGGACTTGAAAATTGGAAAAGTTGACTTATTTCGCCCTTTTAGATTTTTATTATCTTTTCATTTTTTTAAGTAATCTTTTGGGTAAATTAATTCTTGATTTTAGGTTATAATTATGATTTAATAATTTTATTTGATTTTATCATGTTGGGTTTTAGTGAAATAGGTGATTTGGGTTTAAGGGAGTGGGTTTAGCTTATTCATTTGGGTTTCTTTTTGGGCTTAGGAAGCTTTGACCCAAGATGAAATAATAAATGGGCCCAGAAGCTTGTTTGCTCAAGTAATCTGGAAACGAATTTGCAGTTTAGTCCCTGTACTTTGCATAATTTCACTATGGCCTTACAAACTTTCAATTTTTTTAGTTGGGTCCTTATTTTAATTGTAAATGAGTCACTAAACTTTATTTTTCTTTAATTATAACCCCAAAACTCTGTTAATTTTTGCAATCAAGACCTTTCTTCTTTTGACTTCATACATGTGGGTTGTTTACATGATTCAATTGATTCAATTTCATGTTTATTTTTATCTTTTGTGATTACTTATTAATTAAAGTGATGCCTTGACCTTTGCTTTGTATTTTGGAGGGTAAATAAGTGAATTTGTGTCATTAGGGCTCCAACTCAAGGGAGGTACACTCTATCTCTTATTTTGATTTTATTAACCCTATGTGCTCCTATGTGAACTTATGTGTGAAATTGCATGTTTTTTTTTGAATATTCTCATTTTATTTATTCATTTAGTTACTTTATTTGTTTTAATTTTGTATATTTATTTTAATTTAATTTGTAGTTATTTTGAAAGGCATTTAAATGTCGAATTGTAATAGTTAGGGGTTTATTTGTTTATTATTTTCTTTTTATTCATCCCCCATTAGATTGTAGTAGGGTCTTCCCCTAATGTAATAGATAGGGATTTATTCGTTTTATTTTTGCTGTGTGTGATTTGCATGCCTATGTGCTATGTGTTACCGCTTTCTTAGGACGTGCATCTAGATATCATGCCTATGTACTATGTGTCTTATGTGATTTATGTGTTTATTTGCTTTATTTTGCTTTATCTGATTTTTTTTAGACTGTAATAAATGCATGTTACCACACTAGTCCAATGCTAGTTGTGACTCTTTGTCCTGATTTTTCACTAGTCCAACGCTAGTGAGAAATTGTAAATGTGGTCTAGTTCAACGCTAGACCCTTAGGAGCCCTTCGAGCGTTAGATTATGATTGTGTGATAAAATCACTTCATCTCATGCATGTTTTTCTACTTTTAGGGTTTTTTTATCATTTTTGCATGACATTTTCCTTGTATATATGTATAGTCCTTATCTCATATTTTCCCTTATATGTAAATTCCTTACCCCTATGTGTGATACATAACATTAGATTTGCATTTCATTTAAGAATTAGGATTAGGATAGTACATTTGCTTGATTAGATTAGGGATAACCCCTTGAATATGGGATATGGACGAGTTTAGCTTTCTAACTTTAGCACACTCGTATTTCCTCTATTAAACGGAAAATTGAGTCACGAACATTAGTCCCCCGTACTCGACATGATACACTCCTTTAAGACATGTATATTTGTATAATTATTTTATTCCTTGTCTTTTCTTAGAATCTCATATTTTGCATTATTCGTGACTTCTTTGAAGAGCCTTCATTGGGCATCACAATTAATGTGATTGGTATCAAATAAGTTTTGAAGGTACATTTCGACCCCTCGACACCCTCCTAGGTCAGCCACTGGCCATTTGGTTCAGTGGTCATCCCTTTCTTTGGGATGCTGGAGGTTAGGGGTTCAACCCCTGCCTCCCACAACTTGCCACCCTACGTGGCTGGTCTTTGCCCCCACGGGGTAGCTCGAGCGGTCCGCTCCCCCTCCTTAGGGTATGGCGACCTTCCTGGCTTGTTCAGGGTTCGAGTCTCGCTGTTAACGTGTTCGGTGTGGAGTGGGGCTTCCTTTCCCGGACCGCAGGGGATTAGTCGGGTCCCGTAAAGATTGATCCGGACACCCCTGTGTCGACAAAAAAAAAAAAAAAAAAAGACACCCTCCTAGGTCTAGGGTTTGCATTCATATAGTACATCCAAATGTAATAAATTCTTAAGTTAAATTAAGAAAATCTTTGACTAAATCACGCAACTAGCCTTGGGTGCCTCGGATTTTTTTTTATCCTTGCCTTCCCTTTCTTCAAATGTGACTCCCGAACTTTTTTCTTTGATTTTCGTGGATTTGGAGTCGTTTAAAAAGGGTTTTTTTACTTTTTTCTTTTATAATTTATTTTTTAGGTGACTTGGTACACCTTAACTCGATATCAAGTGGCGACTTCGATTCTTTATTCAAAAACCCTTTTTAAACTATTATTTTGGGTCAAATCGTTGCATTTTCAAGTACCATTTAGGCCTATTTTCTTTAAATAAAAAATCCTTCTTCAAATCAAAAATCAAACCAAAATTCACTTTTTTAAAAATGTTGTTTTTTTATTTTAAAAAATGGGGCGCGACATCAATTAACAACTGGTTGAAATACCAAAAAAAAAGAAAACAAAAAAATATTATTCAATCAACTCAACGACATATAGTTGTTGATATTATAATAGAATATTTAATTAATTGTTTTCATTTGTCAAATATAAGTATTGGACATTACATGATGAACAAATTTTGAAGAGGGCGTTTGTTGTGATTTCAAAATGCATTGCATTATTTCATCCACGCACAACCAGCTTTCTCCTGTACCCATTGCATCTTTTTGCTGTCCGTCTTTGTGCGTCCCTGCAGAACACAATGGGCCTCCTTGCATTGCCTTTTGCTAAAAAATCATTAAAAATGTTTTTGGCCAGGCATTAAAATATCGATTGGAGAAATTGAAGGCAAAGACACTTTTTGGAACTCCAACCTCAAATTCTTTATAAAACCCAAGAAGGAACAGAACAGGGAACACATGGATGAAATTGGATGTAGAATTCATGTTCTGGCCATCCCATCCCCACTCCAAGGCCACCTCAATCCGATGCTGCAATTATGCAAGCGTTTAACCTCAAAGGGTGTTAGAATCACGCTAGTCACAAGCACCTCAGCACGTTTATCGGTGCAAAATCAGTTTGAATCGATCCAGATCGAGTATATTCTAGACGATCATAACATTGAAGCTGAGGGATCAAAATATTCAGAGAAAACTACTGCCTTCTTGAAACGGTTTAATACCGCAGTTTCAGACAATTTGGCCAAGCTAGTCAAGGAAAAGGCAAGTTCTGGTCATCCTGTGAAAACAGTTCTGTATGATTCAATGATGCCATGGATTTTGGAGATAGTGCAGGGACAACTAGGCCTTAAAGGGGCTGCGTTTTTCACTCAGGCTTGCGCTGTTTGCGCAATATTCAACCATATTCATCGAGGAACATTGAAAGTTCCTCTAGAGACATCTACCATATTGCTTCCTTCAATGCCACAACTGGAGTCGAACGATCTGCCGTCTTTTGTTTATAACCCTAGTCCATACCCGGGTCATTTGGATGTTGTCCTCAGTCAGAATATAAACCTGGAGAAATCAGATTGCCTCTTGTTCAACTCTTTTGACAAGCTAGAAAATGAGGTAGAGCTCTCATTCTATAAAATAATTGGAATTTGGAAGTTCACCCATTAATTAGCAGCATTTTATTTGACGCTGTTTAAATTAAATTACATATTGGCAAATACTTTTTGAATCATTGTTAGTGTCAGTTAAGTTCATCCTTGGAATTTGATCATTTGTAGACCATAAGATCTGTTTATTTTGTTCATAGCATACATCACATTGTACAATTTCTAGTTAGTTATTGCTAATAAAAAAAAAAGTTAATAAATTAAGAAACAAACGACTTATGTCAACTGTTTTGAAAATCAGACCGGACCAAACCAGCTGTTTGAATGGCTAAACTGCGAACCGTTATTGGCACTGGTTAGGTTTTCTATTAAACTAGAAAAGGTAAGTGAACTGGTCAATTCGGATCAAGAAATGGTTAAACCAGTCAAAACAGTTTTTAATTGTCTTTTGGGGGTGGGCTTGATTAAATTTTGCTGTTTGGGAAATATTACAATGTTGTTGCTTAATCTCAACTAGGTAGTGACCTGGTTGACAGAACGGTATCCAATCAAGACCATAGGCCCTTGTACTCCATCCATGTACACTGACAAGCGATTGAAAGATGACAAAGATTACACCATCAATTTCTTCGCACCAGATTCAGGAGCTTGCCTAAAATGGCTTGACACCAAGGAAACAGGCTCAGTTGTTTATGTATCCTTCGGTAGTGTCTCAGACCTTGGAGAAAATCAAATGCAGGAAATAGCATGCGGCCTGATGAATAGCAATTGTAACTTCTTATGGGTAGTTCGACCTTCTGAAGAGAGGAAAATTCCTAGAGATTTCATGTCCGAGGCACAAGAAAGAGGTCTAATCGTGAATTGGTGCCCTCAAATAAAGGTTTTGTCACACAGGGCAGTGGGATGCTTCATGAGTCATTGTGGTTGGAATTCGACAATTGAAGCATTGAGCTTGGGTGTGCCAATGGTGACCATGCCAGTGTGGGTTGATCAACCTACAAATTCTAAGTATATTGTGGATGTATGGAAGGTAGGATTGCGAGTTAAGGCCAGTGAGGAAAGGGAAATGGTAACAAGAGAAGAAGTAGAAGGAACTATAAGAGAAGTTATGCATGGGGAGAAGGCAAGTGAGCTTAGAAACAATGCTTTGAGGTGGAAGGAGTTGGCTAAGGAGGCAATTAGTGAAGGAGGAAGCTCAGACAAAAACATTGAAGAATTTGTTTTCAGTCTTGAAAGCATTTAGTTATATTAATATCCAATTTTCTTCACACATCTTTCAAATCTTAATGATCTGTTTTTAATTTGAGATTGCAAATAACAGTCAACGTATGCATAGATTATCCTAATTGACACTTCAATTAGTATTAACCTATCCATAGAACTACTAACGTAACTTTAAGTTAGAACCTAAAATTCTTAGGACTAAACCTTGGGCTGACACACAATTTACAATCTTAGAAGCAATAGTCATACCAAATTCCTTTGAAATTCTTGATTTTTTATTTTCTCAAAAAACATGTTAGTAGGTAAAATCACGCAGTGAAAGTAGCATTATAATTTTACAAATACTAGATAATAATAAAGGCACAAGAGGAAACAAAATATTCTGTTTTAAGTCACTAATTTCCCTCAACTACAATCTTAGGACTCCAAATCTTTAAATAGAGAAATATAACCACAAATCCTATTCTAATATAATATTAAAACATGACTTAACCTATTTCCCAAATCAAATTTGACACCAATTCCAATCTAGTTACCAAATAAAAAAATATAATTCTAAAACTACTAAACTTCTAAATATGCTTGGTTTAAGGGAGGCATTAACCAAGCATATTTAGAAGTTTAGTTGTTTTGGAGATCGTGGATTTATAGTATTTTTTATATTTTTAAAATAATTTAAAACAGTGAACTAGTGACTTGGCCAAGCGAACCAGTTGAACCGATAAATGTAGGAACTAGCTGCTTAAATAGGTCAGTTATGGGTTCGAGTTTAAAAACATTGGGTGGATCCGATGCTGATTTTTGTCGTTGTAGTTACTTGAATGGATTCGATACTAGATTCAGTTTAAAGTACAAAATGATCTGGATCGAATACTTGCCAATGATAATAAATATTTAAAGGGCAAATTACACTTTACGTCCTATGGTTTAGTGTTTTTTCATATAAACCCCTATGGTTTCAAAAGCTACACATGACCTTCTTATGTTTTGGATTAAAGTGTCAAAGTGACGGAAATTATCATTTGTAACAGAGTCACCTAAAATTTAAAAATGCCCTAATGTAAATTTGAAAATTATTTATTAACCAAGGGGGGTTATGTTTATATTTTGAAAACCATAAGGGGATGGTACGGTAAAGCATTAAACTATATAGGGGTTATATGGCAAAACATAAAAATCATACGGGGTTAGCGTATCATATATTTATAAGGGTAATTTCGATATTTTTAAAAGTTCCATTACGAATGACTATTTTCGTCATTTTGACACTTTAATCCAAACCATGAAGGGGTTATATATAACTTTTGAAACTATAGGGGGGTTATATAAAAAAATATTAAATCACGGGGGCAAAGTGTAATATCAGTTTAGTGTAATCCATCCGCCAGAGGAAAAAGCACGTATGGTGGCTATTGATGTAGAAAGCTGGCTTTTCCTTTCTCTCATACTTGTCTTCTCCATAATATTCTTCAAATACTTGTTCAATTTAGCATAAATTGCTGGCTCAGAATCCCTGTAAAGAAAATTCAAAACAGAAGCACTAAAATATGGAAGTAAGATTCATGTTCTAGCCATCTCTTCACCACTAAAAGGCCACATTAATCCGATGCTGCAATTATGCAAGCGCTTAACCTCAAATGGTGTCATGGTCTCACTGGCACCTCAGCAAGTATTTCTCTGTGCAAAAGCAATTGACTCAATCAAGATCGAGTATATCCTAGACGATGATAACATTGAAGTTGAGGCACCAAACACATCAGAGAGAGTTTTTGGTTTCGTGAGGCACTTCAATATGGCACTTTCAAGTAATCTAAGCAAAGCTAGTAGAGGAAAATGCGAGTTCTAGCCATCCTGTGAAAGTAGTCCCGTATGATTCACTGATGCCATGGACTTTGATTCCTTACAAAAATGTTAAAGTCTTTCTAGATGACCCTTTACAATACTAATCTTTGTTTGTTGTATCATCCATTATAAACTTGAGGATGCATTTACAAATTATAATTAGGATGGTAGAAAAAAATGGCTTGTAGACCATTATGTTTGACTCCCAGACATGGAGGATGAAAGGGTCACATGATGTTTAATGCCAACAGAATACCACACAGACCTCATATGGTTACTTACACTGTACTAGTTACGACTACGTACGGCTACATTACAATTTATCTTTTATTTAAAAAAGCTAGGATATGAGCATTAAACTTCTCCCTGTTTTGGTCTTGAACCCAACCTTCTCCCTGGTTTTTTTAACTTAATTTTTCATCTTTTTTAATTAATTGTCCTTTAAATCATTATTTTAAAAGTAAAAAAAAATTCGCAAAAATGTTGTATCTAAAAATTCATATAAAATCTCTAGAGAATTTTTAACAAATGAGAGTACATTTAGTCTCTTTCAATTTCTAATATCGGTTTTAAGGACAATTAATTAAAAAAGATGAAAATGTAACATTTTAAAAAATAAAGATTTGACCAAATATGAAATAATTTGACAAAAGCATCAATATTTTGAACGGTATGTACAATATCGATATTTCTAATTACTTCTATTTGTTTTTTCTTTTTTGTTTTAAAGGCAAACAAATTATGATAATACCACTAAAATTTTTTAATTTTTAAGTTTTAATTAGATATATGAACAATTTTTTATTTTTCTTTTGTACTTAGATGATCTGAATTTGCAAGCTAAGTAAAGGTTAATTGTTTGTTAACTATTGGGTTGGCCCAATGGTCAAAGTAGAATTCTTAAAGTTTTCTTCAATGTCAAGTTCAGGATTCAAATCATGTACTTTACAATTAGGGATGGAAAGGATGTGAAAAGGGGGTGGAAGGGTAAAAGTAAAAGTAAAAGTAAAATAAATAAATAAATTTTGTGCATAAATATCTATTTCATGCTCTACCATTATTTTTTTTTTCAAGTTACTGTATTTGAATTTGTCAATTGCTTGATGAAATTCCTCAATATGCAATTATATGCATGTTTTTTTGAAAAATGAAAAGATATGCATTTTTTGATGTCGAACTCTTTGTATTATTTTGTGTGTACTATTTCTATTAATAATGGAGTATGATGATCCACCACATATAAATTTTTTCTGTCTGACTATTCATTTTTTTGAGAATTGAAATTTCATTGGTAGAGATAATTGAGTTTTTTCTTTTTATGTTTCCTTTTAATTTTTAATTTTTTGGACAAAATCTAACATAAAGCACAAATGATAAACATTCTATAATGCTAATAACACCTTGTTCTGGTATCAATACTCATATTTTTTGAAGATTTAAAAATTTAAATAGGTAGTGACTAATCAAGAATTTTAATGAAAATAAAAAAAATTAAAAATAGAATGCACAGAGACACATTGGTTTGGAGTATTATATTTTTTATTGTCTTCATAATTCAAATTTAATTAAGATTATAGTTTTCTTCCTAACTACTACAATTATTGTTATTATTGAAATGCAATAAATCTAAATATTAGGGAGAAGGGTATTTTGGACAAATAAAAACAAAGACAAGATCCTACTTAGTCTCTAATTCTTAATATTTTGTCTAGTCATCAACCATCATTTTCCTTTAAATCAATATGTATGATATAATGAATTTTAATCATTATAATAAATTAAAAACTGAAAAGAGAATAATATGAAATCTCAATCATCAATTAATAAGGGTATAATTGAAATAATAAAAGTTAAGATCAAAATAATGCTTTCACTTACACTTCAAAGTAGCAAAATTCATGGTATTTTTTATATAGTAATAATAATAAGAGCAAATTACCCAATAGCCATTAAACTTTTAAAATAGTCGAAGTTTGGCCATTTAACTATTAATAGTATGCCTTTACCCACTAAACTATTGAAAGTATAAATATTGGGTCATTTCGTCTGATTTACCATTAACTTTGTCAAATCTAACTATTGATAGTATGTCACATGAGTCGTGCAAACCCTTAAATTTGACAGAGTTAATGGTGGAATCACATGGAATGGTTCAAAATTCACACATTTAATAGTTTAGTGGGTAAAAATATACTATTAATAATTCGATGGCTAAATCTTAACCATTTAAAAAGTTTAGTGGCTATCTGAGTACACTTACAATCCAAAGTACCAAGACTCGCGGTACTTTTTATATAGTAATGATAATGTTAATGATAATACTAATCTTAATTTGTGACATTAGGCATTACAAAGTTGATCATGGAAAAGAGATAGGGAGAATTATCTTTGTGAGGAGAATTAGAAAAAACACTAAAGAAAAAAGATAGGGAGAATTAGGGTTACTTTGTAAATGGTGACTCCAAGACCATTGGACCTTTTTGGCGGTGGAGATCCTCCTCTCTCAGGGTAGAGTTTTGCAGTGGTGGTTACTACTGGAATGGCATTGGCAGATGTTCCCTTGGGTATTGGTGTAGTTTCAATGTATCAAGGGGAGTCGGCACTGCATCTATCCCGACAAGAATTAGTGTCTCTGGTCGAACCATTCCAAAACATGTTAGTCGGGCACTTCTCATTCAACAAGCCACCAATGGAGGTCATCAGAAAGTTTTTTGTTTCCTTAGGGCTCAAAGGCAAGTGCATTGTCGGTCTTCTTGACCCTAATCACATTTTGATCAGACCGATGCTTCAAGACGATTAAACAAGAATTTTTTTCACGGTGGATGTGGTTCATTCATAATACACCAATGGTTGTGTCAAAGTGGTCACTTGATTTTAGGGCTAATTAGAAGCTTTCGGTAGTTCCAGTTTGGACGTCTTTTCCTGACCTTCCGATTCCATTCTTTGCCAAGAATCTGATTGCCAAGCTTGCTGCAACGTTGGGATTGTTACTTAGGGTAGACTCAGTAACATGTGATTTGTGTTATCCATCGATTGCACGTGCTATTCCAGAGGTTGTTTTAGAAGAGCTGGTGAAGAGGGTATGGATAGGTGATGATGATTTTGGTTTCTAGCAAAGGGTGGAGTTTGAAAATTGGCCCACCTACTACCAATTCTGTGCCCCGGTTGGCCATCATGAGGATAAATGTTTTAGGAAGAACCCGTCCCTAAACCTAAACTGAAATCTCAGCGT